CGAAACCAAACCGTTTTTGGTTCAAAATCATTTCGTTGACGGGTCCACGTAGCACCAAACCACCGGTTTCGAAATTGCGGTTTCGATTCGATTTTCCGGTTTGATGGTTTTTGCTTACAGTCCTAATCAAGGCAATAGAAAAGAAACATGCAACTTTAGATAAAAGGGAAAATTGGGGTCCCTAATCTTTCACCTGTTTTTTTGCAAATTTTACTCTAACCTTCAATTCGTGTCATCAAGATCTCTAACCTTTCATAAATTAACAGCTAGTCCATTCAGATGGAAATCATAAATTTGACCGTTAATTAACTAGAATAGTAAAAAAACATTATTAAATTTTAAAAGGGCAAAATAGTAACTTCATAAATTTATTATTAAAAAAAAAATCCTATTTATCTCCTCCAATAACCACCCCACCCCCACCCAACCCAACCCAAATCATCATAGCCACTTCCACCATCACCCAAGGCCGGCACCACCGTCGGAACCAACGCCGACACCACCCAACGTTGCCGCCTCAAACTTACACAAAGATAAACACAATCAATTTTTGACGACCTTTTCATCTTCTCCACAGGCCAAATATGTGACGGTGGGTTTGGAATCCCCAAACTTCCCTAAAATTGAAAATCATGAAACCCAATCACTACCGGCACCGTCCACCGCTTACCCAAATATCAAACAGCATAAAAATCGCACTCATATACAAAGAATTTTTAAAAAATCACAAAATCCAAAGACATTCCCAGCTCAGGAGGTGCCGACATCAAATTTCTACGAGGCTTTTTGCAAGTGGGGTGAGCCACTTAGTCTGATCCACTTCATCTTGCTCAGGCTTTGGTTGCTGCAAATCAAATTTACCAAAAGATTTCTCGAAAGAAGAAAGCCCGAGTATTTCCAAGTTTAATTTTGTTTCTGATCGTTTTTATTTAATCTTTTAAAATTATTTCATCGTAAAATTATAGTTACTATTTTACCCTTATTAAATTCGGTTTTGCTACTGGTACATCAAGGTGTACATTGGCATGTACATCACACTCACATGGGGGTGGGACCCGTTTGATTAAAAAAATATTTTATACAAGTGGGTTCCATCCCCATGTGAGTGTAATGTACACCTTGATGTACAATCCTTGATGTACAAGTAGCATTTTTGTATTAAATTTGGTTAAAATCTATTTTCTTTGGTCAATTAACGGTCAAATGGATGATTTCCGTCCAAATGAACCACAGCTACTAATTTATAAAAGATTAGGAACATTCGTTGACACAAATTGAAGATTAATGTAAAATCTGCAAAAAAATAAAAAGTTATAAATCGCTACTG